TGATTCACATAATGTTACTCTTGGCTGCAAAGAGGACTTGTTCCTCTTCATCAGCAAAAAGGCAAACAGTGCCAAGCAGAGGAAAGATGGCGTTAGAGAGGCAGAACTGCACTGGTAGGAATTACAAGAAAAGGCAAGGGATCGGGTAGGAGTGACCTAGCACCCCACAGTCCTGAATTCTGGCAGGGTGACAAGCCACAAAAGTCAAGATTTAAAACCAATTTCTCCCGTGTCCTTGTGTGACCTTTGTGATCAGACAATCTGGAAAATGAGCAGGGCAGCCCTTGGCTAATCTTAAAAAGCTCTTGGTATCATTGTTTGAGAGATGCCCAGAGGGAGAGAGGCCAAACCTGGAGCTCCCTGTAGGCTCAATTTAAAAAGAAAGCTGCCTTTTAAGATTTTTCAGTGCCAAAAAACCAGATTGTGGATACCAGACTATCTATGCTCCTGCTTTTTTTCACTTGTCTGGAGATTCTTTCCTTCATATAATTTTGTAGTGGTATTTAAAGGATATGGTTGGTCTATATTCTTATTTTTATTCTTATTTTAGTACTCCTAAAGGCTTGGTGGAGGAAAAAAAAATAAAACATGCATTTACTTTAATGCATTTCAGGCATGCGTTTTTTACTTACTTCACAAATGGCTGAAAAAGCATGATTGGTATCCTCCATAGCAGGATTCATATGGTTCCTTTTGTTTCTTCTCTCTGCCTGAAGCTGCCATCGGCCTTGTGAGTGGTGGTTTGGTTCTGCTCTTACCTGAAACCAAAGGGAAACCTTTACCTGAGACTATTGACGATGCTGAAAATCTGCACAGGTATGGTCTCAGGACGTTTCTTAAATAAAGAGGCACCATCGAATATTTTCTCTTCAGAATTAGAAAACAAGAGTGCATTCCTCTCCACCCAACTCCCCTAACCTCCTGAAAAACAGTGTCTCAGGAGATAGAGTTTATGAACTGTGGGGCATCTTGTCTGTAAACATAGATGGTTGAGATGTTTTCCTCCTTTTTTTTTTCAGCTGAACCAGTGGTTTGGCTGTTCTTAGAAAACTGGCCATCTTCCTAGGATGTTCTAATCATTTTATAACCATTTCCTGGACCATTTCCTCCCCAGAGGGGGCCAGACTGCAAAGAGCTTCCATTAATCAGGGAAACCTCTGCCAACCATTTCCCAAAATAACTGTGAACAGCACAGTTCTCCTCAAAACTTAAAAATCTACACTCCAAGATGGAGCTTTATGCTTCAAAGAGCATCTTTCTCCCACCTCTGAAAAAATTTCAGCCTTGCATAGAAAGAACTGCACTGATTGTCCCTCATCCAGGCCCCTGAGCCATTCTAGAGCCTTCATACTGCCTGACTGGCCTAGCAGATAATATTGCATGTCCATAACAGTATTTTCTTCAGCACCCTAAGACATCCACACCAAACTGAAACAGCACAGGGAACTCTCAGGCAGCTTCCTTGTGGCAGTTGCCCTATCAGGCCCCACTCTTCCTGAGTCTGAGGTCTAGAACTGCCTTTTGACAGCTTATAGCAGCAATGGTTGAGAAGCCACAAACCAATTCATATTTTCTGCAGTGTTCTATGATCTGGCTATCTGGGACAGCTTGATAAATTTAAAATAGTCCTCCTTTTGCAGTCATTGGTGTGAAAGCCTGAAAAAGGCTGGGGTCATGCAAGTCATGCAGGGTCTAAAGTATTTCTCCCAAATCATTTTCAACAAATGCACAGCCCTAATACTTTTTCTTTCATGAGTCAGTTAGCCAAATAGGTCATGATAATATACTTAAGAATTTGGATGAAATGGCTGTGGTCATTAGTTTGATTTGTTTTATTTGTTCACATTCATCTCTTGGTTTCTTTCCATAGACCAGGAAGGCCCAAAGAAAAAATTATTTATCTTCATGTGCAAAACTCAGATGTGACAACTTACTGAAGACAGCTGTGTTCCCCACAGTTTCTCATTGAAGCACACGGAGTGCATAAGGAGTGAAAACCAAAAGGGTGGATACAAGCATAACCCTTCATGAGGGCTCTGAATTCTTTGAACTTTCAGTATTCTCTGCTTGTTTCCAGTCATGACTGTGACATGTTCCAGAGAATTCTGTGGTCCTGGTGAACATTTTAAAGTCTTCCCCAGGGTGGTCCCCTCCAGCTATGTAATCTACCTGGAAATTCTGTAAGATGTAGTGAGTTTCTCAGATTGGAGGAAGACATGCTGTAGACAGTGCCTCCTCATAGCCTAAAATGCAGCATGCAAATTATGGCCTTCATATATAAGCCCCATTGAGTCTAATAATCCATATGACTTTGTTGATGAAACTGCAGTCTTAAGGATCCATACATGAAGATACACCTCATTCAGATAAATGGGAGGTACTTTTGTGTAACATAATGTAAATTATGATAGAGAAATTGACATTGTCAGAAAGCTTGATTTTACCCTGTACCTTATTTTTCCTTAACTTTCATTCTGTTTCATTTATCAACTGTGAAGTTTCCTGTTTTCCACACAAAACTGTACATGCATTTTCATGAACATTTCTTCTAATACACAGTGCTGTTAACAGTGTTCCTAATATACAGATTTTTATAAGAACTTTTCAGAAGGAATTAGCATTCTGGGCCAGAGTCCTCACTTAGGAGAGATGTGCTGGGCACATACTCCAAATAGTGCATAGGCTCAAAAACCCTACCAGAGTTTCATTTTATTCTGCTGGTATAATAGGTAGTCCTTGTTCAGCGACCACAATTGGGACTGGCATCTTGGTCATTAAGTGAAGTGGTCACTAAGTGAAACCATGACTGTGCTTATGATCTTACTTCAGCTTTCTTTTGCTTTACGGACCCGTGAAGGTCATAAATGGGAGGACCAATCATAAAGTTACTTTTTCATCACCGTCATAACAGCAAACTTTTGCTAAACAAGGCAGTTGCTAAACGAGGACTACCTGTAGTTAATCATGTGATCCTCCTGTCCCATTAAACAATGCAATTTGATAATAGCTGTTGGAAGCCTCCAGAGAAGGGCCATACTCAAGATTTCAGGAGCCATCTAGGCCCTCGGGTCCTCAACTTGTGCATCCTGTGAACAAGGTGGACAACCAGTTTTTTAACCCAGAGTTCTTTCTAATCATGACTGGAAAAACTGACAGTTTAGTTTCCAGCCACTTCTGAGGCAGAGGTGACAATGTAGCATAAATTCTAAAATATGCTTCGCATTGTTTCAAAAAGAAAACAAGAAAAAAAAAACTTAGAAAAATAGCAGAAGGCCTATCCCTACTCATGTAAATAAAGTGGCTTTGACCAATTTGCCTCACTGTCCAACCTACTATGGCCCTTAATTTTCCTTCCCCAAGTGTTAAGTGCAGGTCTCAGGAACCTCTGCTTTAGAAAATGTATTGATTCTTCTCTTCCTAACTTTGGGTGCAACCTAGACAAAACTGAGAATCCTGAAGACTATGCAAAAATGTACACACACCACATTTTGCATAGAGCCTAATTTCATATTCACAGGCACATACACAGCCTGCCTACATGTACTTGTACATGCACGGTCTTCCATTCTTCCCCCCTCCCGGTTCTGGGGGTGATTTGGGGATTTATTTTCTCTTAGTAAAATTGGGCACTAGGATAGAAGTATTGCATTAATGAGATGCTGGCGAATATGCACCGATAGGCATCCAATTGCATTCTCAAATTGGGCACTAGGATAGAAGTATTGCATTAATGAGATGCTGGCGAATATGCACCGATAGGCATCCAATTGCATTCTCAAATTGGGCACTAGGATAGAAGTATTGCATTAATGAGATGCTGGCGAATATGCACCGATAGGCATCCAATTGCATTCTCCTACTGAGAATATCTATACACATAGGTATGTTTATATGTGTGGAAAGAGTAGTTTATAGTGAACAGGGCCAAAAACCTGTTCTCCCTTTCCCAAATACTCCTGAGAACAGCGCTTTGCTCGAGGGCTCTTATTCTAAGCTTGGAAGTAGGCAACTGCAGGGGCAGAGAATGAATGTTAAAAAAAAGGCAGAAATCTCTTGGTCACCTCAAATTAAAAGTGAAGACTGCCATTTGAAATTCATAAAATTTTCCGGATCACCAGAAAGGACCAAAGAGAAGATGAATGGTCCCGTGAAAGGGGGGAAGTGAATATGGAGTCCAGAACTCAAACGTATTGAGGGGATAAATAAAGATTGTTAAAACCGGATTTCTGAGTTCATGAAGTAGGTCTAGTTCCTGTTCACCACAATAGCAGGTCCTGAATCCAAGAAGGTGATTCCCCATGCAATCTCAGAGCAGGGAACCTACTAGCTCCGATGCAGTTCCCCCTAATCAAAACCTGCTGCTGAATCTTCTACCAGTAAGGAGATTTTAAGAGATTTCCCCCCTCCCTCTTGGGCCATCCAATACGAAAAAAATATCCAGCCTCTTGAATAGATAAGAACAACTTTACTACTGGCATTAGAAAAGCAATAAGGATACAGACATGCAGACAGTATCATACAGGCACAGGACTAATTTTAAATAAATAATAAGCTACTGAACTCAGTGGGTGATTTTCCATATGTCCCACAGAGGAGCTTGTTCAGAGCTAGTAGTTCTTACATACGTACAGTACATACACTGAGCAGTTTCCTTTAACATGCAGCATTTGTCCAAGGCACAGTGCATATTTAAACAATCTAATTCTCCCTCCTCCCTCATAAAATGCCCAAAGCAAGAGTTATCTCTGCACAAACGTCATGGAGCAGTTCTCCCCATCTCTTCTGGGCTGCTTAATCCCTCCTTCTGGGCCAGATCTCTTCCCACCTGGCCCATCTGAATCCCGTCTGCTTTTCCTCTTCTTGGACCTACAAGCTTCTATCCTCCCACAGCTGATCCACTGTGCAGTTTCCCCAACAACGAAACAGTCAACTGCCTCTGTCTATCTGCATTGGCCAAGCTGAGACTGTCTTTCTGAATCTTGGCACCCCTCTCCCCTCTCCTCTTGTAGGTTGGATGAGTGGAATCCTTGCTACACAAAAAATACAGGGAGAAAAGTCTTGCCCCCTCTCTCCTTTAACTCTTATCTACTCATGCAGAGTCTTTTTTCCCTAACTTAAAACTTAGCTCATATTCCCTTTAGCTGTTTATGTTACCTTTCCTCCTTTTTCCTCAACTAATTTCCTATTTCTTTCTTTTTCTACCATTGATGCGTTTTTGTGAATCTGGGTCTGTTTGTGTACCCACAACTCTTTGCACTTTCCCTAACCCTTCCGAATTTTGTCTCTTTCTCTCCCCATGTCCTTCTAGACATCCACCGTGTTGATTTCCTGACTCCAAGCTATCTAATGAGAAGCCTTGTATTGCTTCCCTTTATCTCTATTTATCTTAGCATCTCCAAGGGTTATCATTCCTCTGCTTCTGACTCCTTCCAATTGTAGGCATGTGCAACCAGAACCAAAGCACCCATATTAACTCCCTTACTTCTCCTGGCAAACTCTTGCCAGTATGCACCAATTTTAACCCCTTTGCCTATTTCTCAACTCTGCTGTAACCAACAGGGTGACATAGACATTTCAATTTATTTATGTATTGATTTATTTTACTAGCAAAAGGATGTTTATATGGGTTCTGGGCATTATAAAGAGCCCAAAAAAAGATTTATACATACATGCATAAAAAGTAAAATGAAGTGGCAAAAGTTAAATCTAAGACCCTAGAATAAGAAGAAGGGATAGTGTTTTAACAGACCTAGAACTTCCAATCATATTACAATCTTTAAACATCAGGTGAAAAGCATTATTTTCACTACCCTCTGCTTATTTTCACCATTCACGTGCTGTGTATGTTGTATTGACCGTACTTGTCCGTATAACACAGGCACACATGGAACAAGTGAGTAGTGTGTGTGTGTGTGTGTGTGTGTGTGTGCATAAAATACCTGTCTCAATGAAAGACTTTTACAATTTAATATTTTCATTAGCTAGCAATTAGATCTGGACTTCTTATGGACCACATCTGAGCATACATATTTCAAAAATATTGAAATCTGAATTTGCTTCAAGATTGACTGTTTAATCCAGCATGGTGGAAGTTTTCTATGTCATCAATGGTCTCAGGCAAAGTACTTCCCTTGGTCTCGGGCAGAAGCAGCACTGATCCAGCAGCTATTAACCCTAAAACAGCTGCCAATAAAACATACAAAAAACAACATCAGAAAGCAAGCTATGGCATATTGTCAAGATGGACACACAGTCATTTTATTTCTGTTGTTTTATTTGTGCTGAATCAAAATTATCTGTGTTTATATCAGGGTTCTTAACCTTTTCATGCCATGGACCTCCTTGAAAGTCTGGTGAAACCTACAGACTCCATCTCAGAAAAGTGTGTTTACAATATAAAACAAAATACATTGTAAATAATAAATAAATAAAATATATTGTATTATGCTCAAATGCAGTTATAAAAACATTGAAATCACAAATATGTAATGTAGTAATAACTGTTCTTTATTAATCCATTAAATCAATAACAAGATAAGCTAAATTTCAGGCGGGGCTTAGTGAAAATAAAGTTGTGATTTTTTCACATCCACGGAGACCCCTGAAATCTATTCACAGACTTCCAAGGGGTCCTTGAACCCCAGGTTAAGAAAGCTGGTTTATATGTTATGTATTTTCACTGCTATTTTCAGTTTAAATGTTCATAGATTGTAATTGTTGAAAGTTTACAAAACTTTAAACATTGCCTAAATAGGTGGTAGCAGTTTGCCAATCATCACTGATCTGAAAAAGTCATAGCAGGGTCAGAACTGATTAGCACTTGGATAGGAGCGCATCAAGAAAACCCAGAACTGTGGGCCAGAGTGGGAAGTTGAAATAATCTTCACAAAGATACATCGTTCCGATTGCCTGAAGACAATGTTAGCTATGAAGAAATCATTGGAGTGACAGAAATTGGTAAGTCAGTCTTCTGCTTCATTTCGGTTCCCTAAGCCATGCAATCCGACTACATTTTCCTCTTTCATGTTTCCAACCTTGGAATTCCAGTCTCACAAGCAGCACACCTGTCAATTTATTCTAGGATACAGATCTACATAGACCTAACTCCATTTAAGTTCAGTGGGACTGAATCCCTGGATGAGTACAAAAGTGCATGATTGAGCATTAATGAGCTGCAGCTGCCATAGATAGAGTATGACTTACTGAAGACTACAAGAGGTAGCTCACGCCAGACTTCTGTCAATCTGTAGACGATAAATGGGGATATGATTCCCCCAAAATCGCACAAGGAAGAACATACCATCATGCCAAGGTTTCTGAAAGAAGAAGAAAGAAAGAAAAAGAAAGAAAGAAAGAAAGAAAGAAAGAAAGAAAGAAAGAAAGAAAGAAAGAAAGAAAGAGAAAATCAGACTGAAACACTTCCATACAATATATATACAGAGCTTAATAAAATAAATGAATAAACGAGAAATTGTCTTACTAGAAAGCAAAGTACCAAATTTCAGTATCATTTTTAGTCCCTGGAATACCTCTGAGCCCGAGATAAGCCTATGAATTTGGTGGGTGGTTGTAGCACAATTGTTTGTCTGGAAAGACACTGAGCCCTTCAGATTCCTCTGTAATGTACGTCCTACATAAAAGGGACAGGGGAGGGCACAGAGCATATTTTATTCTTTTTAGGGAATGTTCTGCTATTGAATTAGTCCACATTCTTGCAGCTCTCTGCTTATGTTCAGGAGAAATTCATCTAACAAGATCTCCCACTGAATTCATATGTCCAGCAAAAGATTTGTGGGTGATTTGCAGCCTTCTGACCTTAAGACCACCTGATTCTCTGAATAATGAGAAGTCTACCATGAAGAGGCATGAGAAATACTTTTCACATTTTTAAAAATTAAGACCTTACCAATGTTTTCATTTTTTTCTTTCTAGAATGAAGGATCTGAATGTGGGAAAAAGAAAAACTAACAGATTTGTTTATCTCAGACTTTGGGTGCTTAACTCTTAAATGCCTGAAGTTGAATGCTGGTTTGTAGTGCTGAAATCAAGTCTTCCACAACTACGTGACAAGCTATGACAAGCTATTTCTGAGTGAACACCTCCATGCTGGAAACAGCTGTAACTGATTAAGTTTGGCTAGTGCATAAAAGTTAAAATCTTGCTTGATTTATTTTTATAAGAACTTAATTTCTTCCTGAACAGGATGGAAAGAATTGACATTAAAAATCAGCTGTGAGAGAAAGCAAAAATGTTAGACTTCTCCAGCTTTAGTGTAATGCAGATTTTTGTTTCTTTTGTATAGGAGCACCCAGGACAATTGCAGACCTGATGTCTTGGGTTACTTACAAATATGAATACAATGCAGGGAAGAAATGGATTCATGAAGAAGGCAGCACAGTCAGCTGATGCTGATTCTGGGTCTCAAGGCCATCACACAGAACCCCTTCTCCATACAGAGCCAAAAGCTGTTAGAGTCCCTTCTTTAGCATCCCAGTTCAAAACTGCCACTATTTCTAGACATCCCCTTGTTTTCCTCCCTTTTGGTGAGGCCAAGGTTCCTCCCTGAAGTGTGGTGAATGCTACCCTCTCAACCCTTGTATTGAGGTAAGATTCCCTTAGTTGGCATTTACCCATGAAAAAGGAGGAGGTGCCCTTGGTCTTGCCCTGCCTTATCTCCAAAGTTTCTCCACTTTGGAATTGCCAAGCTAATTCTATTTTGAGGTGCTATCTCCCTGAATTAACTTTGTTACCACTGTAACAATGTTAATTCAGAGAGATAGCACCCCAAAATTGGTGATAACTAAGTAATCAAATATATAGATTACTCCATTTGAAAAATCATCTTCCTTGTAGCGACACCTACCTGAGATATGTTGGATACAATTCCGAATTGACAAAGCAGACCATTTCAAAAGCCATAATGATTCCCAACCTGCCAAAGCAACCTGCAATAATCTTTAACGAGTGCATATCTGGAAAAAAAATATGAGTACATAGTTTACTGAAAATAATTTATTGGAGGAAGATGATTAATACTGGTGAAATAATGAATTATAGCTAGTCTTCATTTAGCAACCACAATTGGGACCAGCAACTCAGTCATTAAGCAAAGCGGTTGCTAAGTGAAGATCAGGTGACTGCAACTGTGCTTACGACTTTACTTCAGCTTTCCTTTGCTTTACAGTGTCAGACAGGTACAACTCCAAACAGCCAGGTGAGCCCAAATGGTGGGGAAGCCTCAGCTCACAAGGAAGCCAGGTGAAAAGGCAAATCTTATATCCCTTTTTCCCCACTCCCCCACCCTTTGGAATGCTCACCCCGCACTGGGATAATTAGCAAGAAGAGAATTAATGTTTGTATTTACATTCATTGGAGAGGAAGGGATTACAAGAGAGTAAGCAGCACACAACGGAGACTATACATCAAAAGGAATGCGCTAGGGGCTAGCAGCAGCTTAGGAGGCAAACAAAAGCCTTTAGTGTGAAACTGATTAGGGTCTTGTCTGCCTAAGATAGCATGCAAGCAGGAGGATTCTAGTCAACTAATTAAGGTTACAGAGCTGAGCTTGTTAACTTGCTATTAGCATTTTTAGGGATGCACTGTGCTGCAGAGAAAAGCAGTTCAGGAAGAGATAGCTTGTTTAGGTGATCACTCTGCTCTGGGGGGGAGAAAAAAATGGGTCAAGCACAGGACAAAACATACTAACTGTAATGGTGAACATGCAACTGAGAAAGAGATGCTGCAAAGGTCGTAAATGTGGGCACTGGTGGCAAAGTTACCTTTTCATCACCATTGTAACTGCAGACAGTCACTGTCCAAGGCAGTCACTAAATGAGGACTATCTGTATAATTTTTCAGAGAACTAGTGGTAAAGATAAGCCCCACTTCTGAGTAATGTAAAATTCCAAGGCAGCATTAACATTTTGATTGGATAGTATTATATTTTGATTGTATGAGAGGACAACAGATACATTTGATTTCTTTACAATATTAGCTTCATCTACTGATACAGTAGAAGCAGGGCACTGGATGCACTCCTTTAGCCCGCAACATGTCCATCTGACGTGTTTCTCGCTTCCCAACGTCCTACATCTGTAACGTGGTTTTAGCTGCTGTTCTGCTTCCCTCCAAACCTGGATGATTATCTCAGTCAAAAAGCCAGTAATCAGGAACATATTAGCTTAGCTGAAGCATTAAGTAAACATCCAGCAACCACTTTTATGTAACCCAGGGGCTTGCTGTAAAGTTGGGGAACTTAGTGAAGTTGGTGCAGAGTAGTGGGGATTAGCCATGAGAAGCAACAAAAAAACCTGAATCTAGAATCTGGGTGCCCAGGACTTACAAGTAGGAAAGAGCATGAAAAATTAAATGAGGGGAAATAAGGTAATTAAATTATAAGATGAAATAAAGAGCTTCTTAGGAGACAAAGGGGACCCTGTAAGGACATCAGATTCAGGGAGGCGGTGTCACCCTCTAAGAGCTGAGTGGAGGAAACCAAACTTATATTAAAAGTGTTTGGTTGTGGGTGCAAAATCGCATGCATGCAGATCTAGGGACATTGCTTGCTGCAAGCCAGGTGTGGCCCAGAGAGGGACCAAGCCTGGAAGTAATAGCTAGGAAAAAGAAAACAAACTGGCTAGCTTAGCAAAGCAACCTGAAGAAATAAAAAGGAAGACAGTTTTAAAGTGAGGCACAAAGATTACTTGAGAGCAGAGGAGAAAAGAGGTCTGTCCAGGTCTGTGGACTTCAACTCCCAGAATTCTCATCAATGGCCATGCTGCAGTGGAACTCTGGGGGTTGAAGTCTACACTCCTGGAAATGGCTAAGGGTGGGAAACACTGGTTTAATGCAATTAGTAAAATAGAGCTGTTCTCAGCATTTGGTTCTGAAAACAAGGGAAGTAAAAATCTGTTGTCTGTTCATAACTAGAAGTGTCTTGAGTCTTGGAGAGGTGATGCCCCTTAGAGTCCGCCGCAGCAAGCTGGGTGCAAGGGGATTTAGGCAGGAATTAGACACTCTTGGGATAACAGGATATTTCCCGTCAGAGTGGTTTCCGGAACTCAGTACAAGCCACTGTGGGGAAAAATGGCTACCCAAAGAGCTATACTGATAACACATCAGCAAACAATACAGTAGGGATGGAGTGAACGTCCAGTTTCTAATCATGTCCTTTTGCACGTGTACAAAGAAACTATTGTCCTCTGAATTCAAATACTTAAATAATTAATGCAACATTGTACTTAAGTGCACACTTAAATGGATTTTCTAACAGTATGTGTGGGTGTGTCTGTTCAAAATACAATTCAAAAAACCATTTGATACTCTCTTGCACTGAAAGTAAGGGTGAAACCCCGCAAATAACTTCATTCTGACCACCATATTAGCTTTGGTGGTGTGGATCAGGTCAGTTCCTATCAGAGTTCCGAAAACGTGAATAACTCAAACCTCTCTGCTCATCATCGTCATCATCCCCATCCATATTGTGCATAATTCTGTCTCTTATCAAGCAAGTGTGCAATGACCGTTAAACCTTTTGGGTTGTTCCTCTTTATATCCCTGCAGAAAGGCTGCTTGTGACCACCGTTCTGCTAAAGTAGACTCTTGCAGCATTTTCCTCCTGACTGCCCTTGGTCAGGGAAATTAAAAAAGATTGGCAGACATTATCTACTTGCCGTCTGGGATGAAAGCTGTAACAAGGCAAGCGATTCCAGCCACCAGATTAGACACTGCCCAGGGATAACGACGGCCCACACGCTCTATGGTGACGATGAGGATGAAGGCAGCTGGGAATTCAACAAGGGTGGCATAGAAAATATCCAGGTAAACATTTCCACCAGCAACTCCTATGTGCATAATAAGCCCTTGGTACATTATGGCACTTGTGAACCTAAGAAAAGAGGAGGAACTACAGTTAATTGTGGCTAGATTTATTGACTAACAATTCTTCAAGGAATCAGCGCTCCAAATTTGACATGTCAATCTCAGATTATATTATTAATATAAGCAAGTGGATGCATGATCAAGTTTTGTTAGTAGAAGCCTATTTTTTATCTTCTGGGGTTTTGACTGCTAAAAAGAGTAGCACAGGAAGCTATTTAAGAGTTTGATTCTCCATGTGTGTATGTATGTTCCTTGTATATGCATCCATGTTTCTTTTCTCCTTTTGGAATGTCCTGCCATAAACAGCAGCATGAATAGATTAAAAAAAGTAATTAGGCAATAGGAGCTTGTTGGAAAAGAGGCAGTTCTTTTACTATTAACTACTGCAGTGCCACAACCCTAAGACCTCCACAATTTGTATGGATGAAGAATGCACTACTCCCATCTCCCTTTTAGCTCTTTTCCTTTACTTATCTAGGAAGCTGCTCCCCCCCTCCCAAAATGAATGAAGAGAGTAGAGAGGCCTGCAATATCTTCACAGATATTCTACCATTTATGTTGAAGCTGTCAGTTTAAAGCCCATCTAACCTAGGCTGGTGTTGGGTTTCCCCAGTCCTAAGCCAACACCTTCACCATGCTAGCTCTGAACATACTGTATGAGAGTTGGAAACTGAGTAGAGAATTGGGTTGTCTGCAATAATCCAACATTCTTACATCCTGTTTGCCCTCTCCTCAATCTCCATGCACTCAGTAGGTAGATCTGAAAGGAAAGAATAATTATATTCACTAGTATGTGAGCACAGCTCTCCGTGTGATCCTGCTGGACCCTGCTTTATTAGGACCTCAGATAACAGAGAGAGCTGTGCTTGCATTTGGAGGAATGTACAGTAAGTATAAATTTCCCTTTGGGCTTCTTTGCTCAGTGCAATGAAGTTGAGAAGAGCAAGGGGCAGAATGGGCCAGTTTCAGCCTTGCGAGGTAGACAGACAGGAAGCATGGCCAGAAGAGTTAATTTCACTTTATTGTAAGGTTACATTAACAGAATCTTGCAAATTTGAAAGTGTGTTTCTATCCCCAGCCCCTTTACAGCCCAAGAAACTAGGGAGGGTCCCTTCTCAGCCACATGCCCCACCCACATTCCTGATGCGGGCGCACTTGCCTTTCATCTAACTGTTCCCCTGGCTGCATCTCTTCTCTCTGTCTCCCAAGGTCATTCCCATGTGCCATTACAACCAGCAGGCACAAAAGACATCCAGTTTGGTATAGTGGATGGTTAAGGCATCAGGCTAGAAACCAGGAGGTGGTGAATTCTAGTCCCACCTTAGGCATGAAACCAGCTGGGTGACCCTGAGCCAGTCTCTCTCTCTCAGCCCTGGGAAGGAGGCAGTGGCAAACTTCCAAAAAACCTTGCCAAGAAAACTGCAAGGACTTATCCAGTGAGTCACCAGGAGTCAAAAGCTGACTTAAAGGCACCAAAAAAAAAAAAAAAAAAAAAGGACCATACCCAATCAAAAGCCCTAATGTGTTCAGGCCAATACAATTTCAATGTATTCAGAAGCGCTCACTATGAAAAAAAAGGACTGCCTGAGGAGGGTTTAATGTTATAGGAATGTGGACCCAATTTGTAATTGGGAGCTCAGGCAAAATATGAACCCTAGCCAAGGGTTTACCTGACCCTCAGTTGTGCATAAAATTTTAACACATCAGGGTTGTGTGTATACCAATGGAGTCAGCATGGCTGGCATAGCTAAGGCAAATGAGGATTCAATGAAATGCATGAAATAAACAGCCTCTTACCAATTATACATCAAAATTAATGTGTATTTCCTGATCTGGGGTGTCTTCACAAGGTCCAGCAAAGAAGGGCTAAACTTTGTATCTTCTACATGTTCTTTTTCAAGATTGATATTCTATTAGATAACAATTGCAAAATAAATAAAAAGGCAAAGGATATTAATACATACACATCCATCACATTATTCTCTTTCAGGATAAACATTATGCTGAAAACAGAAATGGAGTAAGAAATTGAAGGCATGAGATAAGAAAAGGTTAAACTCAAAAGCTGAAAGAAAAAGTTAAAGTTAATTAATACCAAGACCAATATCTTCTCTCTCTCTCTTTGAGGACTACATTCATTCTGTTCAACCACATCTTTCTTGTACTTCCCATCTCACAATCCATTCACTCTTCGCAGGGCAGTCTGCAGGGACCAACTATGATATCAAAATTGCAGGTGTGAGCAGGCAATCAAAGCCCCTTTCTAACATGTATCACATGCATCACATGTAAAAGGAATGGGGCTTCCAGACTTTGATGTCAATGACAGCCTGCAGATGTACCCAAATTTTCTTCTTTATCTTTTTTTGCAACTTAATCCTCTTGCATTCTTTCTATATGACCAACCCTACTTCATTCAAACTGTTCACTCATTTTCCTACTCAATCTACATTCATTCATGACTTTTACATCCTTGACCCTATAGCCTTTTCTCTTACCATACACACTTCTTAAGTATCCCATTATGAGAGCTTGTTTCCACATTGATAAAAATTGAGTCATTGTTTCCAAGACTCTCAGTAGATGAGACACAAAGCCTCCTCCCTTATACTCCAAAAGCATGAGAAAATGAATTAGAATCTTGCTGCGTAGATTGCCTAAATATAGTTTTCCTATTTGAAAGTAGAGTACTTGCTGGAATTCTTATGTTGTAACTTCACCTTGCTTCTAATAAATATTAGTAACCAGAGCTTTGAGAGACTTGTTCTTTGGATTAACCATTTCCATTCTGGATAATTATAAGACAAGTCTGATGCCCACTCCCACTATAGTCAACTTACTTTTATTTTTCACCTGACATACTTTTATGTCTGTTCCATTAGATGATTGTCTCCCTTTTCTGTTGCCTGATGTTGTTCTATAGCTTTGCTTTTAATTTTGTATGCTGCTCAGGGAGGTCAAGAAGTTGGGTGGCTTTAGAAATGTAAATAAATAAATAAATACTAAACTCTAACTTCTGTATAGCACAGTGGATAGAAGCAAGCTCTTGTATGCAGCTTTTTTGCATTTTCAACATTCATTCCTCAGAACAGATGAGGTGACTTTCTACCAGCATTTGCATGTCTTAAAATGTCTCCATGCATTTTTCCATTTCTAGCAAACAGTTTAACAAGATACATAAATTCATCTACTTGCTCTAGTTTTTTGTCTAGTATGTACAAATTGCAAACATTCAATCCATTTTCCCTGTCAAAGTCAATTACTTTAATTTTTGATACTTTAATTTTCATATCTGTTTATCTTACTGCATATCCAAGATAATGATTCTTTGCCATAAATCATTTGAGTTTTTGGCTAACAACACAGCATTTTTTGCATACAAAAATACATATACATTCATGTCACCAACCAATACACCTCTAATGTCATCACAAGCATTCCTTATACCAGTGTTTCTCAAACTGTGGTCCGAGGACCCCTCTTGGGGGTCCCCAAATTCAACATTATTTGCCAGCCTATGTTAAAAGACGATTGATTGATTGATTGATTGATTGATTGATTGATTCTGTGCCATCAAGTTATTTTCGACTCCCAGCGATCACATAGATAGATTTTCTCCATGAGGATCTATTCCTAACCTGTTCTTTCAAGTCTCCCAATGAAAAATAATACAATACCATCAAACCATTGTAAGAAGCAATAGTGGCAGCAAATATGTCAATTTTAGTTTTTAATACAGTAAATATTGATAAATATAATTCATAAAAACAAAAGCTTTTTTGGGGTCCTCCATAATTTTTAAAAGTGGGAATGGGTCCTAAGACAAAAAAGTTTAAGAAACACTGCTAAAACAATTATCCATAAATACATTAAATAACCAAAGACACATCAAATAACCTTGCCTTATTCCTTGCTCAGTATTGAACCATTCACTAAGCATTCAATTTATTCATACACATGCTTTATTTCCATCATATGCCACTCTTATCACATTCTGCAACCAACCTTAAAGTCCATATTCACAAAAACATTCTATAATGTAACCCTGTGTATTATATACTTTCTCTAAATAAATGATCATGCAATAAACTCTCCTTCTCACATTCATGCACTTCTCAGTGAGCAAAAATCTGGTCTGTACATCCCCTGCTGGACATGAAGTCACAGTGCAATTCCCAAATTTGGCTCATTATCACTTTTCATACTCTTTCAGTCAATATTCTGCTAAACACCTTGCCAGGCATGCTTAATAAATAATTCCCCTGTAGTTTTTGCATTTGCTCCTGCAAATTAAGGAAAAATAATGTCATTCCTCCAATTGTCAGGGACAGAAGTTGTCACCACATATATGTTAAACAAGTAGCACAACCACCTTATGGAAGACATATCCATATTTTAGCATTTCCCCAATTATACCATCTACTCATGCAGCCTTAACATTTCTCAAAATTCTCACTGCATTTATGACTTCCTTTGCAACATATTTTGCTTGGACACTAACATGTATTTATTTATAGCATTCAATTCTTCGACATACCACTATCATTCCCATACAAATATCTATAATACTCACATTCCTTCACTTCAACTTCATCCCTAATCATTTCTAAAAATCAGTTTCTTCTGCCAGAAGCTCCTTGTTAACTCCTCTTCACTCATTTCCAATCCAATTTTAATTTCCATCAAAATTGCTCTGCATTTTCTTGGTCTCTTAATTTTAACCATTTCTTATAATCTTTTACTGCATCAGTTGTAACTACAGGTAGTCCTTGCTTAACAACCACAATTGGGACCAACAAATCTGTTGCTAAGTGATGAAGCTGTTAAGTGAAACATCACATGATTATGCTGGACTTACAGTGTCACTTCCACTTCTGTCATTAGGTGAGTCACTGTGGGTTGTTAAGCAAGACATCATGTGACCATGACTTGCAATTTTACTGCCAGCTTCTCCATTGGCTTTCCTTGTCAGAAGGTGGCTGTAAAGCAAGCAAATGGACCATGGGACACTGCAACAGTTGTAAACACCTGCTGTTTGTTAAGTGCCCAAATCTTGATCATGTGACCGCAGGGATGCTGAAATAGTCATAAGTGCAAGGTCCAGTTGTAAAGATACTTTTTCACCACCATCAAACAGTTGCTAAACGGGGTAGTTGTTAAGCGAGGACTACCTGTATGTTGTTCACATTATATTATATCTTCCTTCTCATCTATCCTCATTTTTTTTGCAGCAGTAACTCTCTCATATGTATTTTTCCGCTCATCCATAGTTTGCACAGGTGTAGTGCAAATGTGTAATACGCACTGCCAATCATCCAACTCTTTGCTCAAACCCACCACTGAAAGATTGCAATATATCTGATGAGGCAGAGGTGGAAAAAGACCAGTAGCAGGTTAGTGGACAGACAGTTACACCATCCTATGCCAATACCCTACCAAGGAATGATCAATAGGAACATGTAGTGTTTAAGACTCACCTCAAAAATGGCAGGTAAGACTTTCCCATTTTTTTTAGCAATTTCATCCACAAGTTTCATAGCTCGGGCATTCTGTCCTTGAGTGATCAGCCACCTGGGTGACTCAGGGAGGCACCTACAAAAGAACTGGAATCATTGGCCTGCTCCAGAAAGGCTCATGGCAAAAAACAGACTGCACAGGGGTCTACCTTCTCCTGCATGCATTAATTTACAGAATCTTGTTGCACTTTAAAGACATAACCATTTTATTCTGGTGTAAACTGTCATGTGATATCAATAGCATTATTCCATATAAGGAATATATCTGTATCTAGGGTTATGGGGGCAGCTTAGATACCAATAACAGAATTCAGAAGGAATGGAAATGTAGGAGAAGCAAGCAGTGAAAATTACCTATTGTTCCTGGCCATCCACAAAACAACTGTTGTATGTAGCACATACATTATTACATTCTTGTAGCATGATAAGGGGCCTTGGTTTCTGTTTACTCCTTGAGAAATAGCTGGCCATGACCACATGATCATGGCTTCCAACTTGACTTTTTTAACTGCTCTGTGGATGCCCCTCTTGGCCTCCTTCATTCGTTTGCTCAGAGTTGGCTTGTTTGAAGTCAGAGCCAGAGCATCCTATGGAGTTGGAGTGGCCCCTTATTGGTAACAGCACCTATTGCCAGGCTCTATTGGGTCACTGCAATAAAAAATAGGCTTTGCAGGGGAGGTTACTGATCCCAGACAATCACCCTTTAAGGCAATCCCAACTCATATGCCTCTCAAAAAGGCAAATGCTTTCATTATAATAAACTCATCTCTAAACCTCTCCTTGGCCACTCTAGTCTGTAAAATATCTGGCGGCAATGTTGTGTATACAAGCACACACCAGGGAGGATGTATCTTCACTGAATTCTAGAAGAGAAATAAGCATCTCTGATCACTAACTTCAAAAACATGTTGAATCCACTCATGCATTACCACTGTCTGATGCAGAACACTGACTAGAGAGGAATATGCTCCTTGATGGGTCGAATGAAGCCCAGAAAGTGTGACTCCCAAAGTGCAGCCCATTGACTGTGTTCATACAACATACTTAATCCAGGGTTATTTGGATTAAAACCATTTCTTGATTGAGTGTGTATATAATGTACTAAAGCATAAACTACACTAGCTGAATTTGCATAACAAATGAGCCACAAACCAACCAACCACGCTTTAGGCTAGACGGCTGCGAAACACAGCCACTAAATGGAAACGATTCACTTACATGCAGAAGGGAAGAGGATGAGCTACTGAGAATCAAGCTTACTCACTGATTAGAAATGGGCAATTTACGGACATCCTAATGTTGTTAAATTACAGCTTCCACAACCCTTCACCATTGCCACAGTGGGCAGGGCTGCCGGCTGCTGGAATCTAATCTCACCTGGAGAGTCTCTACCCGTATCCTAACTGTGCTAGACCCAGCCTTTCCTTGTGCCACAATAGAAACTTTTCCTTAGATGTTACAGGCAACAGACTGGCTCTGAGCAAGACCTTCTTACCAGTAATAGAGTAAGAGAAAGAACATTGGAAAAGTAACAGCAAGTTGAAGCCATCTCCAGTTGGGAATTGCATAAGCCAAAGCATTGAGGATGAGGAGACCAAAACCATATGCTAGTTGATAGAGAATGGCCACAGTCCTCCTGTAGCTTGGACCAACAATTTCTGTGACTGGAAAATAAAATGAGGACTTTTCATATTAATTCTTAATTGGGAAATATCTTATTCATAGGCTTGGATTAGGAAGAATGCTGACGAGCGAAAGAAACAGTGATGATCATACTTGTTTCAAGCAATGAAAAACTCTACTATGGGATATCGGTTTTGAAACTGGATAGAAATGATACATACTATGCCAATATCTACAACCTTTTTGACCTGTCAGTGGCTTTCAATAACATTAATCATGACATCCTCTGGACTGTTTCTCTGGGTCAGACTTAGGAGGCACAACACTGTAATGGTTTTGCTCTTTATAAAGGGATGTCTCAGAAAATAGTGCTGGAGCTTCTGTCTTATCCCATGGTCTTTGGTTCATGAGGTGCCTCTGGATTCAATCATATGCAACATTTAGATGAAATCAGTGGAGGAAATCATCCAGAGATCTGGGCAGAAAAGCTAAGAAAGCAGCCTAAAAAGCATGTTAAACACACAAATTCAGTTCATTGGGTTAAATCCACACAGTTGCAATAGAGATGCATCAAAGGTACTTGTACTCTCTGTGAGCTTTTGTTCTTCTGCAGCTACAGTAATTGCAGTACAGATATAACTCAGCAACATTTTTCTTGTTCCATGATCTCATGAAGCTGCCATCATTTGATCCATAGCTATGGCAGAGGTAGCTTTAAGTCATCCTTGGCTATTTTGGTTTTGAAGTGCTGTTTTCTCCCTTTTTTCTCCAGCACCATTGTTAATGTGAATACATTGCAGCATGCTTTACCAACCATTCTGTTCCTTACGAGATCAGATGCCTCCCAGGAGTTAGGATCACCCTATCTCCTATGGGCACACACCCTCCCTTATGGTTCCTGGGAACTGATCTCTAGGGTAGTTCTTCTTTGGATAGTAGACTTTGGCTTGAGCTCTCCCTCTATGCCTGCCAGGTCTCCAAGCCAATCCCTGGCTTGAAGAACTGGATCAACCCAACGGCAGCTGACCAGCAGTAGGGAGGGGGGAAGGAGATGGCTCTCCCCATACCACTTCATCACACAACCTTCCCCATATCTGTCAATTCATTGCTTTTGAACCCAGGTTTAGTGCTCTCCCAGACACCCAGATATCAACTGGTAGTCAGGCTTCCTTTGCATGTGTGTTTTTGCGTATTCTGGAATAGTGCTACATCTGTGTTCAGCTCTTTTTGAACCCTGGATTAGGACTTTTTGAACACCCTCATGCAAAACACTTGCAGAAAACAGAGCAAGTGTTGTCAAACCTTATCTCTTTTCATCCCCCTCCCCATCCTTTATTAAGAAGAATGATTGGTATATGTTTCTCCCCAAATGTTTGGTGGGAGGGGAAAGGAGAGAAACAAACCTGGGGGAAATCTATCAGTCCTTGCCCTAAGTATGTCCTGTATACATTCAATATGGACAGTACCATTTTTTGGCATTGGGACTGAAGCAGGACAGGAATCTCTGGCTGGAGCAGCATCTTTTATGCTGGTAGAGTATCCCACTGGTTCAAGACATGGTGTAGCCCTTTACCTTGGTCATGAGGTGGAAGCCTTTAATTTTAATAGGTTAATATGTGCTACAGCAAAAGTAGTATAAGACTGCAACAGTTTATAAGCTGCTAATGTAAAATAATTTCTTAAAGCTTCAGAGACAGCTTTTTCCTGAAATTATTAAATGTATTCAAAACTTTGATTTGAGTTTCCAGAACAGGTTTGATTTATTAAAGCTGGAATAGATTAGTACTAATTTAGGAAAAAGTGTCAAAGATTGAATCTCAGTTGGGTTCCACTGATGCATTAGATTTTGTCCTCTTGCAGAATAACAATCTGTGAGAAAGTGTCCAACTTACGCAAACTGTAACCTGCCATCCAGCTGCCCTTGCTGAACAGACCTTGGATGAAACGGAATATCACGGACCATAAGTAGTTTGGTGAGAAAGCTACAAGTACTCCGGAGATTGCGGTTACCAAGACAGCAATTAAAAGGCTTGTTTTCCGTCCAAACCTGCATTAAGAGAAGCAACAGATACACATACTCAAAAAGATACAAGGGAAGTCATATGCTGAAGTTCTGTTTAAGCTGCTCTAGTGGTACTGCACTGAGTAGGAGATGGACCTGTAAGGTGCCTTCCAACCCTATCATTCTATCACCTTTGCACACATCATTTCAAAAATGTTTAGCTATTTCGAGGTTCATCATTACTGCCTGAGTTCACACAACATCTAAACCTTAAATCCAGGTTCAAATTTTCTCTGATCATATAACATGCTCTGCCCAAATAAATTAACTATATTATGGCTTAAGATGATGGCCTAATTCATATAACCTGCTAAGACAATGACTGGGTTCCCACAATATACTGAATCATAAACTCCCCAGCCCCATGCTGGATTAGTGTAGTGTGCTGAGTGAACTATGTTTTGAGTTGGTAAGAATTTTCTTGTTGTTGTTGTTGTTCAGTTGTAAGTCATGTCCAACTCTTCGTGACCCCATGAACCATATCATGCCAGGCCTTCCTGTCCTTCACTGCC